TATGTAACAACTCTCTGCTCATCAACCTGCAGTGACATGGGGGAATCAACTAATGATGTGGATGAATCGCTCTGAAGCTGCTCACTTTGTTGTTTTCCTCATTTCTGGCATAATCACGCAGCAGTGACAAATCAGTTTATTCACTATTAATCACATTCTCATCAGGTATTTTCTCACAGTGCCATGAAAAATACGATTTTAAACCTTCTATGGGTCTCCGTAGCACATCCAGTTTTCTATCTGCATAATTACCCTTAAATTGTGTTTGCCTAATGAGATAATGTAATTCTGTGTTCCAGTTTTGAAACCCTGATTGAGACAAAAAAGCCAGTCAGCGATAAGAGATGTTAAAGATGATGTCTTTATCATTTATCTGCAGTGAGAATCAGCTTTTTCGTGATGGTTGTATGAGCAGCACAGACACAAAAAAAGGCCAGGACACAGCAGGACAGAGAGAGGTGATGATTGGATGCCCTTTTCTCCTGGATTAGTTGCAGTTTCAGGGTCGGTTGTATCCGTAGTATTTTCTTTGCTTAGTTCCTGTTTCTGCCAGCAATGAGGAAGATTCCAGGAATCACTGTGTGGTTACAGCAGGAGTGTCTGGCTGCTCTGTTGCCGTGGACACCGTCTCTAGCTGCTCCTCAAGGCCGCTGATGTCACAATAACAGCCACAAACATGATGTGAGAGAGGCAGCGTCTTTCTTCTCCTTCTCTCCGTCTACATCTCCATTTCTTTCTCTCTCTGCTCGCTGCATGCGTTGACCCACATTAATCACTTCTTCTGCAAGTTCTAAAATTTCCCTGACGCAGCCCGGCTCTCACTACAGACTCACTATGTCTCTCTCCCTCTTCCACTTATGCAGCTTGACGTTGCCTCTTCTGGGACCTGATTCTTTATTCAAAATGGCTGCCAGTGTTAGTCGATGCTATCTTTCTTTCCATGATTCGACAGAACGGCAAACGTGCTAAAGTCAAAGCCACGTGTTTCCTTCTCAAACACTGCCCTCCCACCTTAACCCACACAGTAACTGCTGCAGTTGTGAATGTGGCGGTCGATGGGCCGGGTCATGCGGGGTGAACGCAACATGATCCTCCATGCCTCTGCAGCCCCCTCTGCACACACACACTCAAACTCACGTAACGCAAACACACACTCGCTCCACACGCTCTCACCCTCCCCTCACTGCATGCCATTGTCACTCTCTGGATGTGTGCTATTAGAACCTGCTTTCAGCTCCTCTCTGCTCACACACATGTGCAACACACTCGCCCACTTTCCACACACACACACACACACACACACACACACACACACACACACACACGCACACCTCTGAGTGTCTGAATGCCAGCTCAGCTCATGGTCATTCTTGGAAGTCAACTCCTTCACCTCAGCATGGAAAGTTATGCTTCTGTTGAATTTTACTTTAATCTTTTAACAGTGAACATAAATTCCTTTTGAATAGGTTTGTAAGTTTTATAAACATTATTCATTTCATCCTCGGGCTGTGACGGTACGGCTTTTTTCTTACCACGATGAAAAAGCGATCGTACTGTCACTGCGTTGCATTTTTCCAAACTTTAATAATCTGGTTTCTTGCCTGCATCCAGGCGCAGTCTCACTCCCTCTTCCTCCTCTTGCAGTTCTTGGACTCATTCAGCTAAAATTACATGCTATTACATGCTAGTGTGAGAGATTGTGATGGTCATTACAACCTCTGTAATATCTTCTATTCTTCTTCTTCTTCTTCAGACTTTTTTCTAGAAACATAAATGCCACTATAACGAGGGCTTGATTCATACTTGTTTTCATGTTTCCCTTACTATTACAGCGGCGTAGATGGATGATGACGTTTTGTTCTTGCATGTTGACATCGATGGACGTACATTGTAGTCTGCGATTCAGTAGGCGCTGTCATTGTACACTCTGCATACATCAGACTTGATGTTGGACCTAATTTTTCATATCCATGTTGCACAGTGTAACTTGAACTTAACTTAAAAGATTGCTAAAATTGAGGCTTTACATCCTGCACACAATTCCGAGTCCACTCACTGACCAGAGCAGCTCCAGTCTCCATCTTTGCCGTCTGTGGCACAGCAGTATTCTGTGTTGATAGGCTAGCACTCGTGATGTAATATTGCTGTGGGCTAGACATTGAGCAAGGCTACAAAGTGGTGACTGTGGAAAGAGGGGCCGCATCAGAGCCAATGTAGTGCATCTTTCAGTGACTGTATTATATCGACTTTAAAAAACGACAAAAAAACGTGACCGCGGCATTGCTGTGATGCGGTTATCGTCACAGCCTTATTCCATACTTCACAAAAAACTGTGATATATTCCATATCTGCTTGTATCTCTGATTCACTGAAGGTGTATCACTCACACTCTGAGGGGTCATTAAATCCAGATGTGCCATTTTTATAGCCATACATATGTGTCTGTGTGCGCTTTGTCTTTTGTTTGATACTCCATCAAAGGAAAATACCTCCTGCTTCACGTCGTTGAGGAGTTTGAATATAGACCTCCACTATCATCTAAAAGTAGGACGTAATATCTCACATCAGTTAACTCTTCACCCGAGCTATCACATGGAAGCAAACCAGTGACAAACTCTTCATCTGTGCTCTCCCCTCTGTTGCTGAGACAGTAGGAAAGATAACAGGCACACAGAGTAGAGGAGACATGGCTGTGGTCCCGCTCCATGGATTCTGCATTACTGTCACCTGCCTTGTGCAACACAATCCTCAGTGAATCACTTTAAAAGGAGCTCCAATGAGAACTTGAGATAGCAACTTCAGATAAGTGGACATAACAAAAATGTTTAAGAGCCCCCTCCCCCCTCCAGTGAAGTGTCCCCCTCTCTCTGCTCCTTATCCCCCACCCCCTTCCCCTCGCACCTGTCCGGTGCTCCAGTGTCAGTGAAAGTGAAGGAGATGGGAAAGGGGAATGAAGTCATGACGGGGTATAGGGATGAATCCCAGTGGGCACGGCTCTGTCAGCGAGGGAAAGCACAGGCTGCCACAGTCAGCTCAGCTGTGTCGCAGGGCTGAAAGTAAATACACGTCTTTCTTAAACTGTGGACATGTTTGTGTGTGTGTGTTTGTCTCGTGTTTGCGTGACGTGTGTCTGCCACCTGTTATCCGAACATGACCCCCGACGTATACGCATTCTTGCTTGCATGAGAATGTGTGTGTGTGTGTGTGTCAGACATCTTCGTAGACTCCTCCTCTCCAGACTGAAGGTATAATTGGATACTCACAGCAGGCAGCAAAAAGGGATCCCTGTCTGAGATAATTATTCGAAGACTCTGAAGTGTGACCTCCGGGTGACTGCTGATACAATATATACACGGATCATATGAGGGGACGATATTTATAGTGTTACTTAGACATGTAGCTAAGATGGACGTCTGGAGAGCAGCAACAGTGTCCGTCACGACCTACTGGGGCTAGCACACACACAAACACACACACGTACACTTGTCCCTGCTGGGACTAACAGAAATAGCAAGCCATTAACAATTAGTGCAAGACTCAGCCCGGGCCTAATGAGAATTAGAGTGTCTGACATTGAGCATTTACACCATTTCAGATGTTAAGATGTTGCACGTAACAAAAACGTGACTGTCTGCCATTTTCATAGTGTAATGTCTTAATGCTCAATATGCTGTTTTAATTAGTCAGTACTGAGGGATAGCACAGACTGTTGGAGTACGATGAGATGAGAAAGGCCATGCCATAGATGTGGGAACAATGCTGGTTTGAGCTAAATGCTAACGTGAGTGACAGCAGTAACAGGCTGATGTTTAGCAGGTGTGGGTCGCTGTGGCTCAGGTTGTTCTCTTATTGGAAGATCGGCGGTTTGACCGCATGTCAAAGTATCCTTGGGCAAGATACTGAACCCTGACTTGTGAGTGTGTGAATGCTTAACTGATGTTTAGCAGTTGGCACCTTGAATGGTAACCTTGGCCGCCAGTGTGTGAATGTGAGTGAATGTGTAGTGTAAAAGCACTTTGAGTGGTGAGAAGACTGCAAACGCACTATAAAAATTTAAGTCCATTTATCATGTTCACTATCTTAGTTTAGCAGGTTTGCATGCTAGCATTTGCTTCATTTGTTCAGACGTTTCGGACCAACATTGCCATCCATGGCTTAAAAGAATACCTCACCCCCCAAATTACCATTTGTTTGTCAAATCCTCACTCTGTGTTACATTGAATTCAGGTGAGCGAAGAATCCAAACATGAAAAAAAGAGCTTCATAAACTGAAGTAGAGGGGGTCTACGATTAACAACAGCAAAACTATATCAAAACATCAAACTCACACAACTCATAGTCGTATGCTCAGTAGTTCCCAAATACGTGCATTTTTCCTAAAATGGTGTTATTTAAAACACAAGGACAACTCGTGTGGATGCTCTGTTTTTGCAGACATGTTTTAAATGGTAATGTTTTAGCGAAAACGCATGTGTTTTGAAAGTACTGAGCAGACGACTGGCTAGATGAGACTTGGATTATACTGCATGAGTTGTGCGAGATTTTGTAAATGGATGTTGTGATCTAGTAGTCCCCTATGAAAAACAAAATTTCTTTACAAATTCAACATAACATGGGGCGAGTAATTGGCGTATAAATGATCATTTGGGGATGAAGCATTCTTTTTTCTTTGTTACTTTGTTTTTCTGTAAGAAACAAAGAACCTAAGGTCGTCATGGGTGTACATTTTTCACTTACATCCTAGCATACAGTGTCACAGTTTCCTCAATAGTGTTTATAAGGGTGAAGTATTCTTTTCACAAGCTCAGGTGAACTTCACAAACCCACAAACATCCTCTGTCAGTGATGTTCGTATCTAAGATGCTCCCAAAAGAACTTCACCCCAGTAGTGTTAACATATCCTTGTCCATTAATTTGATGGTTACCATGTTTCCTGTGTGAATACAGCCAATGCAGTATACGTGTCATTCTCACTCTGTTGCCCCATTTCATCACTTCAGGGCCGTTGTTCCAGGGAGAACTGCAAGTACCTGCACCCTCCTCCCCACCTAAAGACCCAGCTGGAAATCAATGGCAGGAACAACTTGATCCAGCAGAAGAACATGGCCATGCTCGCTCAACAGATGCAGCTCGCCAACGCCATGATGCCTGGCACGCAGCTACCACCTATGGTGAGAGGACACACACGTATGAACATACCACAGCTACTGCCCACGGTGAGACCACATACACGTAAAGGCTCACACATATACAGCTCCCTCACTGTGTGTGTGGCTCTTGCCGTCTTTCGATTTGTCCCCCGTCAGTCCGTCTCTATTCCCATACCAAAAGCTCACAGCTTGTGGTTTATGTGTACATTTTATCTGTAGTATTTTAATTCTGTTGCTTGTTGTTTGCGTTCTTCCAGCCCATGTTCTCGATGACGCCAGGCCTGGCTACCAATGCCAGTGCAGCAGCAGCAGCTGCAGCCGCAGCCTTTAATCCCTACCTGAGCCCTGTGTCACCAGGCCTGATGCCCCAGGAGATCATGCCCAGCACCCCTGTCCTCATGGCCTCCAGCCCCACCGTCAGCCAAGTCCCGAACGCTGCCGCTGCTGCGGCCCAGAAACTGCTGAGAACAGATAGACTTGAGGTAAGAGACACTGATGAAAAGAACCTGATTTCCTCAACATTTTATGGAGCATAGAATCAACCTACTCCCCCTAAGAGTTCCAGGAAAACTAATAAAATCTACTTCATGATGTGTTTCTTAGTGGGAGTGGAGTCGCCCAGGATGATAATGAGCCTGTAAACAAGAAAAGTGTTGTTAACAAGTTGTTTAACAAGCATAAGAATAACGGCACCCTTTATTGGACGTGCATAAATTGTTTCAGAAACTGAATTGTAATATTAATAGCAGGTACCATAATGTAAAGTAGGAGCTAATTAAAGGGAAATGCAAATAAAACCGTCAGAAGCTCATAAGCTGTAATTTTTCACCAGCTCATGATGCCGAGTGAATTCCAAGAGATGATTTGTAATTAAGACTTGTTTACTTTTTTTTCCATGAACCCACTCCCACTTAATCTGCCTCATCTAGTTCTAGTACAGTTTGTGCTTTCACACCGTACGCTTCACAAAACACCATTAGACAAGCACCAGAGATGAGCCTGAACTTGTTGAATATTTATTTGAGTAGAGAGAGCAGTGACGATTTCCACAGCACCGGCAATAGTACAGCAGCAGCAAAGAAACACGTTCTTTCTAGTCAAGTAAAACCGTAACTCCCACTCAAAGCATAACATTGGATGCGCCAGCATTGCATTGAGGTCTATCAAGGCTACTGTCAGCACAGAAATTACTGTGTCGTCCTCCTCTGCCATGGCCAAGTGTTGAATCTAGAAAAAAGCCTTTTGAGACCTCCACTAAAATAAAACTTTGTTGTTGCTGCACTGGAAATATCTCAATATCACTTGTTCACAAAAAAAAAGAATCAGGGTCGACTCAGAAATACTGTACATCATCAAAAATCAGTTGTGTGTGTTCAGCAGAGCGTACCTGATGTAGAACAGGTTTCCTCTTTTAAATTATGTCAGTAAAATTAAAAAGCACACATTTATCTGTCAACCACACACTGCTGACACACTGCAGAAAAGCAGGGTGAATAGGAGGTAACCAGTACCCATGCATTCATGATACATGTAATATAAAGGAAGGTGCTGCCCTCTGGTGTCTCACATATAGACTTTGAAACATGTCTGAGACTCACAGCTCCGACAAACACATCATAGGTCTTTATTAAAAAAAGCATTATCATGACATTTTATTCCTGTGCTAAAGCTGCAGCACCTTCTTTAGTGTGATGTTTATTCAGGACCAAGCACAGGAACTCAACATTTCACAGTTCTAGTTAAACAGGAAGTACAGTGTGTATGTATCTGTGCAGATCTCGTGGTCGGTGTGAAAGACTACAGCACAGAGGAAGGCATAGAAAATGGCATACAAAGCGAGAGGAACGTGAACTTGCAAAGCATTTTAATCTGTTTATTGGACTGCAGATCTCATGCATTTTTAAGCTTAATGGATGTTTGTAACTCTATTGTGACAGAGTGAAGGCTTGATGAGTCATACAAATGCACAATGCAGGAAATATTTTATAAATGAGGCAGATTGTAGAATAATTGGCCCCTGGGTACAGATCTGCAAAAGGCCCTACCACCTCTTCTACACAGGAGCAAGATACACAGAGTTTGTGGTGATTTTACCACTTTCTTGTTGTTGTTTTGTATGTCTTTGAGTTTTTTTGTCTCTTTGGGGTCATTTTTGACTCTTTTGGGTGATTTTATGTCTCTTTGAGGTGATTTTTGTATCTTTGAGGTTATTATTGTCTCTGGGGTAATTTTGTGTCTCTTCAAGGTTATTTCTTGACTCTTTGGGGTCATTTTGTACCTTTTTGAGGTTGTTTTGTCTCTTTGGAGTCAGTTTGTGTCCCTTTGTGGTTATTTTTGACTCTTTTGGGTGATTTTGTGTCTCTTTGAAGTTAATCTATTGTCTCTTTGAGGTGATTTTCTGGCTCTTTGGAGTCATTTTGTGTCTCCTTGAGGTTCTTCTAGCCTCTTTGAAGTCATTTTGTCTCTGAGGTTATATTTGTCTCTTTGGAGTAATTTTGTGTCTCTCTGAGGATATGTTTCTCTCTTTGGGGTCATTTTGTGTGTCTTTAGGGTTACTTTTGTCTCTTTACAGTCATTTAGTGTCTCTTTGGGGTCATTTTGTGTCTTTGAGGTTATTTTTTGTCTCTTTGAGGTTATTTTTGTCTCTTTAGGGTCATTTTGTGTCTCCTTAGGGTCATTTTTGTCTCTGGGGTCATTTTGTATCTTTGAGGTAATTTCTTATATTTTTTGAGCTCTTTGTGGTCAGTTTGAGTCTCTTCCTGGTCAGTATGTGTTCATTTGAGTGACATATTAAAGGTGAAGGCCAGGGAAGCCCCTGACAGTTTGGGCCCTTGGGCCTGTGCCCAGTAGGCCTGTTCAGTAATCCATCCTGTCTCAGTGGGGACTGATCTTGTGTTGTATCCACATGCTGGTAGGTAACTTCAGGTCTTCTCCTGACGCCCTTCCTCTCCTCTTGTTTCCAGGTGTGTCGGGAATATCAGAGGGGCAACTGTTCTCGGGGGGAGAACGACTGTCGCTTCGCCCACCCCGCAGACAGCACCATGATAGACACCAACGACAACACCGTCACCGTGTGCATGGACTACATCAAGGGTCGATGCTCTCGGGAAAAGTGCAAGTACTTCCACCCGCCAGCCCATCTGCAGGCCAAAATTAAGGCAGCCCAGCACCAGGTGAACCAGGCCACAGCCGCCGCGGCCATGGTGAGCAGTCTGTACAACTGTGGCCACACTCATTCACACACAAACACCACGCTTAAGGAGCAATTTAGTTCTTACATTTATATCAGGGCTACTATAAGTTCAGTCACCCAGTAGGAAATATGTTTTGTGGCTCATATTATTGTTTGAAAGTGTCTCACCTGGTTGGTGTTATTTAGCTGTTTCAGTTCTGCTTTTGCCACGTCAAATTGTAAAGGTGCAACTTGGTTTGGGTAAAATCTGCTCACAGCAGGATGATATGAAGGAGGATCGGACCATGGTGCTTTACTCTCAATTAGCTTGTCTCCTTTCTGATCTGGAACAAAAAAAAATCACGTTCCTTGTTCATCTCATCCAAGACCATAAGCAGAGGAGCAGTTCCTCTCTCTGTCTCTCTCTGATGGACAGGTCTTATTTGTGACACCATTGTTCCTGTACTTCCGATCTTTTACTTCTCTTCCTCTTGACATTATAAAAAACAACTCATTGTGCTGTCTCGCAGTAACAGCACCTGTGAATATTTGTTCAGCCACACTTGTCTGTTGTTTTCTATATGCTTTTATTGACATAGCGAGGCTGAGAGCTTTGTTGTCATGTGACACTGACTATGATGTGCACAGTGAAACAGAAACCTGTGAATTGTGCTTCCATGTAATTTTCTGTCTGATATATACGATAACTGAGACCCACTGAAAAAGAAATGATTGAATAATATTCTCACCACTATATTCATCCATCTCTGTGTGACAATAACTAATGTAGATTGGTAGTTATCATTGATTATTGATGATCATTTTAACTGTTGAGCAGTAGATCTAGTGTCCACACTGTGCATGCCTTAGTCCTGTTATCCCCTTGTATATTGCATTCCAATGATTTGTTTTTTATTTGTTTTTGTTTTTTCTCACCTATACCCAAACTGCACTGCTGCCCCCATGATGCACCTCTGCTTGCTGGTTTATGTTAATGCGCTTGAACCCCATTGGCCCATTGCCATCATGTGCTCGCTGCCTGCTAATTAAGACTCAGTCGGCTGTCAAATCACTGAAGCGACCCCTCGACGCAACCTTTGACCTGGTACTATGACCTTTCACCTTTTAGCTTGGCATGTGGCTTTGTTGTAGAGCAGTGTTTTAACCAAAGATACCTAGCTATTTTTGTTTGTCGTTGTCTCAGTGCAATGTCTGTTTTTTCCTCCTGTTGATCTGTCATTATTGCCCGTGATAAAATGATTGTGGCTTTCTGGGCTCAGGTTGCATCCAGCACCAAATGACTACGTAGAAATCACCTCAAACACGAATTTAAATGCAGAATTTGTGATCAGGAGCCACAATCAATTCATCACCTGTAGCCTATTTAACAAAAGTCAGCGAGGGCTAGGGAAGTAGAGCTTCTATAATGGTGGCATGGCTTCAGTCTTACGTCCAAGTCAGTGGTCAGTGTTGTGGAGCAGCTCAACCAAATGTGTGCATGTCTGTGTCGCTAGTGCATGTCAGATGGATAAGGGTGGGGCTAAGAGGAACAGTCTTTAAAACCATATGGGAGTGATCCCACCATAACAGATGATTACAGTTCAAATGATAGTTCACTCCATCATCAGATCTTGTCACAGATATTCAGACCTCAAGGATGGCCTCATGTCAAGATAAAACCCACACACAGAGCACTTTACGGTGTAAATATTCACACCCGAAAAAAATACGTTTTAACATTTGACTCAAGTCCTTTGGCCTGAGACCATTTTTGACACTTGTCTGAGAGTGAACCATCACTTAAACATGGCTTACACAGTTTATCATGGAGCTAGCAGTGCAGCCTCCCTCTCTCTCTGTGCTTCCTACCTGTTCCACCTCCTGTTAGCAGCCTTATTGTTTTAATAGTTAATGCTTGCTCATGTTGCATTTAGTCAGCCCTAAGAGTACAAAGTTAATAATCCAAGTAAGCTTCCTGATGAAATAATGAATATATGAATGCTTGTTAGCCAGTAGCTCCAGTAGGCACCATGCTCCTGCTTGTGTAGTACTTGTGTCAGACTGCTGCTTGCTTGCTACTGATGATATGATGATATTGTTGTTGTTGTTGTTGTTGTACACACAAGGATGTTGTGATGCTGTTTATATGATGTCCTCTAACGTATGTACCTTTTTTGTTTTCTTTCCCGTTTTTGCCTCTTTCCAACACACCCTCTCTCTCTCTTTCTCTCTCTGTTTTCCACGCACCTTTCTCTCTTTCTTTCTATCTCTGCTTTTTTTTTTTCTTTCTCACTGACCTCCCTCCGTCTGGCTGGGCAGGGCATCGCCCCTAGTGTCATGGCTCCCCTGCCCAAGCGGGCAGCCCTGGAGAAGGCCAACGGGGCCTCTGCCGTGTTTAACACCGGCATGCTCCAGTACCAACAGGCCCTGGCCAGCATGCAGTTTCAGCAACAGGCTGCTTTCCTCCCATCAGGTATGGCTCCCAAAGCAACCGCCACTAGTGCTCTGACTGCCCAGAGGATGCCTGGATCAGTCTAACCTGGCTCCTGCCTGTCTGGGTTTGGGCAACGTGGTAGATTGCAGTACAGAGCAGTTTGGTTGTGGACTATTTTTGTCTTCAGATAGAATAGACTTACAAATATAGACACACACCATTAAAGACTTCATTCTAGGCCAGTCAGAGTTTGGGTCTCAAAGTGCAGTTAGAATGCTTCAACAAATGTTTGCATTATGCTTTGTATGGCACTGCATGGCCACTAGTTGTTCAGATAGATTAGACTGTGTTTTGTGTACTAATGCTTTATTAAAACTCCACATAGCTACCTGCTCCACCTGCAGGCTGAATGAGGAAGGCATGAATGTTTGAGAGAAAGGACAGAACTTAGTTATAGTTTGTCAGGTTAAAGTGTTCATGGTGTGATTACTCATATTTTGATGAGAAACCATTGCTGGGGCTTTGGCTTTGGCTGGGATGAACAGGGCTGGATGGGTTGGTTATTGGCGCCAAACAGCAGGCTGCAGAGTCCGGCTTCTGTACACATCTGCTGCTCTCCGCACTTCTGTCTAGAGTGTGTATATAATGTTTAATACCTGATAGTTACAATCTCAACCGCACTATCACTCTATTACACATTCATATGCAATGCACTTGAGGCAAAAGTTCAGATTCTCACTCTCATTTGATTAACAGATACGATGAGTTCACCACTTCGCCTTTTTCCAATCACTGATGACTGTGTCCAAGAGATATTAACCTTTTTTTCCCACCTTATCTCTCCCCCCTCACTCTAACGAACCTTGTGACGGGCTGTTTTGATTTCTCTTCCCTATCCAATCCACTTCCTGTTGCACTGCATGATGGGCAGGCTCAATATTGTGCATGACACCTGCAGCCAGCGTTGGTAGGTTCCAGCTTTCCTTCTTCAGTTGTCTGTAACTTCATGTCTGTGACTCGCACGTCATCAAAATTGACCCCTGCTGCCAGATTTACTGTTTTGTACTTATAGCCAGATTTTGGTGACCTGAGAGTCGCTGTTTTGGTTGCGTGAAGATACTTTTTGTGATTTGAAGCATAAGCAAGAGTCCACATAAGGAAAGACAAATATTGTGACATTTAAATGTTGTTTATAACCTGTATGACAGCTAATGTTGTTCATAATCAATTTAACTGATATATAATACTGTTAATTTCTCTGTGTACACCTACTATATATTGCTTGATCACTGTCGTTCTCATGCCCGCTCTTAACTTGGCTTTTGGCTGGTCTAACCTGACACCTATTGAAATCCTTCTAAAAAGGTTTTAAAAATGGAGGGAGTTCAATTATAACCTCCCCCCTTATCTTCTCTGCCTTAAAGGGATAGTTCTGAATTTTTAAAGTGGGGTTTTATGGAATATTTATCCATAGTCAGTGTATTACACACGTCTGTGTGACATCTGTCAGCATGCCCCCAGTTTGGAGAAGGGGCAGGAGTGTCCTGCTGTGGGGGCAGCAGCAAAACATACAGTATTTAGCCACTTAAATGAAATAACGATTCAAGTGCATGCTAGTGTATTCAAGTGTATGCTATATTTAGAATATTTTCTCCACTTTAGCTTGCAGCAGACAGCCCGTTAATGTCTTCAGTTCACATCTATGCTCTCGTCATACCAACCAGACTCCATTGAGAAAAACAGTGATTTAACATCGCTGAACACAGGAGCTGCTGGTCTACCTCTGCCTCGATTAGTGAGTTAGTTTGTGTTATTGTGTGACTTCGGTGAGTCTGAACTAACCCTTTTAAATGCCAAAGTCACACAATAACACAAACAAAATAACTGATCGAGGCAGAGGTAGACCAGCAGCTCCTGTGTTCAGCAATGCTAAATCACTGTTTTTCTCAATGGAGTCTGGCTGTGAAGAGAGTGATGTTACAGCTTCAGTTCCCCGTTGGAAATAACTGTCTGCCGGCACAGTAAAGCAGTGAAAATATTTTTGATATAGCGCACACTTAAACTGATATAGTTTCTTTTAGGTGGGACTCTATTTAGGGGGCTAAATTATGTTTTGTTGCTGACCCCTGACCCATAGCAGTGCATTGCTAAGCTTTCATATCAGCACTCGAGTCTGCTTCTGTAAATACACTGACTATTGGTAAGTCCCTCACACAACCCCTCTCAAAAGATCTTAACTATCCCTTTAAAGACTCATGTGACAGCACTTTTATTTATATTATTTACTGTAGAACTTTTTAAAGTTCGCACTCATCTTGAGTTTACCAAGAAAGTACAGTGTTGGTCATTTTATTATAAATAAAACACAGAAATGTGGAAGTAAGTCGCTGCTGCTGTGGCAGCTACACTGTGTCACATCAAGTTCTCAGATCACAAGACTTGTTATCAGAGTTGGCAGAGGGAAGAAAGGGAACCAGTTAAATCGAATCCCTCGCTGACCCCCCCCTCGCTTCTTCTCCTTCCCTCATTTGCCTGGTGTGTATGTGGCTACACTGCTCCTCCGTGTATTTTTGCTTACATGATTTTCCCTCCAAAAAAGTTCCCATGATGCACGGTGGTACTCCAGCCACTGTGTCTGCAGCCACCACATCTGCCACAAGCCCCTTCGCAACTGCCTCCACCAATCAGGTTTGCACCTTTACCGCCTTAGACTCTATCTCTCTCTGTATCTCTCTATGTCTCTCTCTTACTCTCTGTCTATCTCTCTGTCTGTCTCTCTGTCTGTCTCTCACTCATCTCTGTCTTTCAATGCACATGGATGATCTGGGGATGCTTGTGTCTCACAGCGAGGGTTGGGTTGGGTAAAAGGCGGTACTCCCTCTTGTTGGCCTACACTAGAGTCCAACATGTAAACACATATCATGCTGTGACAAGTTTTAACTCTAACCACAATATTCATACATTTCTCAGATCTATCTGTCTTTCTGAAAGAAACATACTGTACTGCATTTAATGTTTGTCCTCATTGTAACCTCGATTTTTGTCCTTTCCCATTTTGAGGACTCTTCCTTATCAAAGTTGACTACCAACGAATACATGCAATTGGTATGTATGAGGTAGTTTTTTTCCAAAATTTTTAGAGCCATTCGCACAGCTTGTGCAAAAGTCGCTATCTGTGCCCTTTGGTGCTTGGCTTTTTTTTTTTTTTTTTCTTCTTTTTTTCGCTGCTGCTCCCAGCTTGTAAAGCAAAGCTTTACCATGTTCCTCATGTTTTAAAGCTGGACATATTCATTATTATTACAGTCAAACAAGATTTGCAACCTTCTGCTTTCAGTTCTGTTGAAGGCGTTTTGTAAGCAGCTAGTTACATTGCACAATTTCACAATACCAGGGGAGAAAAGACTTGTGAAAATGTAGGATGAATCATCATGTTACTAGCCTTGATCCAGGACCAGTTTTCTGCATTTTACTGAGGTGTGCAGGTCAACAACATGGAGGACTTAGATTTGCATGGGGGAGCCACCTCACTGACAGTTTCCCTCCGCCCCCCCTCATCTCCTCCCTCCCTTCAACCCTCCTCTTCCCCACCCTGCTGTGCAGAAGTTGATTCTTAATGACATGTCACAACTGAAACTATAGCCAAATTGCTTTTTCTATTTTTCATCTTTCAGTAATGAACTCTTAATGTGAGAGGATGTGGTTAAAATGTGTTGATCTGTGTTTTGTGTTGCCAGCCAACGTCCGCTTTGAGTGTTTTCGGTTCGGGATGCTTCATTTGATCCCTGTCTGTTTTCTACCCCCAGATTCCAATAATATCTGCAGATCATCTGAGTAGTCACAAGTACTTGACTCAAATGTAGTTCCTCTCAAGAACAGTGAGTTCCTATTTCAATCCTCACATTCCCTCCATTCATTACTAAGTTTGCTTACTGTGAGTGAAACATTTTAGCTGCAGTTCGTGTACACAGAGTACAACACTAAGCTTTAATGCATTTTTTTTTACTGAAGAGAAATCCATCATGTCTTACAGATCAAATGAATGTGTGCTGGCACCGTCCAAGCCAAAAGAGTTCAGCCTTTATGTACATAACCTTCAGAATGTCAAGCAATGGGACAACAAGGAGGGTCTGCCATCTCTTAGCCGGTCCACGACGATGGTCTCATCACACGTGTAAACATCAAGGGTGCAACACATGATCTGTGCCATCTCCCCACATATCAACGTCAAGAGGGATTTGTTGTCAAATTCAACGTCCAGCTGAGAGAGGAGGATATCTTGGTGCCGGGGTCAGTGTGTCTCTCCCTCTGCGGGGAAGCGTTCACATAACACCTCTGTGTCTGACTAAATCATAGCACTCAATTTGTTCTAATTATTATCATTACCGCACGCACAGAAGGTCAAGAGCGTGGTTGCATAATAGCAACATCCAGTGCTGGTACGTTGTTAGACCAAGATCTGTCTTTCCTTTTTTATTTGTTCTGCTTTATTTTGTTTTTAATTGATAGCCATATTTCATAGTTTACAAGTGTAATGCAAACACGCACCTTGAATTTGAATTGAAATCTGAAAGGCACAATGATTTTAACAGGAATTTTATTCGCCAAAAGAATAAGGCATGTACAGTATTGTGTTTTGGTTTTTTTTTTTTTTTTTTACGGCTACTAGTGAAACTAGATGTTGAAATGAGGGTCTTGGACATATGAATGTTCTGGGTAAACCAACATACCTGTGTACCTTGAAAGCACAGCCAGGCTAGCTTTTCTCACCTTGTCATGTGCCATCAAGGCCATACAGCTAAAACCAGAGTGTTATCTCAGCAGTGTTATTTGTTTACCGAAGGTAAAGGTTTTGTATGGCTCTTTTTGTATTGTTTTGGTTTCAGAATCTCCATTGTGAGTGTTTTGTTTTGATTTGTTTTTTTTTTACTTTTCTCTAATTAATCAGTTTTAGAAGTGGGGTTCTTGCCAAATTTTTGTTTTTAATTTTGTTTGTTTTTTCTTTTCAAATCAAAAATGGAGGGTTTTTTCTAAAGTTTGTCATACCTCTTCTCGTAGACTAGTGTTGTTTGTGTTTTGGGATTAAGTTGTTGCTCAAGTCCATTGACTCTAAAGCCTGGTGAAGTAGAGGGTGTAGCTTCAATTGACATTGCGTTACCTTGTTCTCCATCTTTTAAAGAGGAGCGACTCTAAAACTGTGTCTCCAAGAAGCACTGTTGAGCCATGTATCGATGGGAATTTAAAAACAACAGGCCCAAAGGTCTATTAGGTCATTGAAAACCACATGTGCACTTGAATGATTGTCTGTCTGGTCACCCTGTTTTAATTTCATCCTGAGTGAACTTTCGCTTTTGAGGCAATGCGACATGTTGTGTGTTTGTGTTTCCAAGCAAAGCGCGAAGGTTCTCATTCACTTGTAGATCTGACTACAGAAACCAAAGCACAGTTTTCCTCTCAATCATCTTCACAAAGGGTTACAGAAGCATCTCCCACGAGGCTTAACTAAGGAAACATGTTTATTACCTTTCATTCATCTGTCAATTTTATGATCACATCCCTTTTGTGTTCTCACAGAGGTGTGTAGTGTGTCTTTACCGATTGTAATGTACCTAAAGAAGCCTTAGATTACAATTAATGGGTCCCAGCCCAATCAAATGTACTTTCAATCACCATGCAGGTAAAGAACACCAATGATGTTTTATAGTTCTCTCACATGCCGCTTATGATCTTTTTATGTTCTTTCTCTCTATGTAAAAGTAACAATTACTCTCTTAAATTTCATTGAACTTCTGTGTTATGTACTACTTAAGGATTTGAATCTATTTGAGGTATGTAGTTGTAGATTTTTCTTTTTTTTTGCCTTACTATATATTACTTGACAACATTGATATAGCCGTTGTAGATTTTGAGGTAATATGACATTCATAACTTTTTCAAACCATATAAATGATAATGTGTTGAGTCAGTTTTAAATATTCACTTCATTCATATAGCTGGATGTCTTTTTTCAGATGATGTTACATTATCAGTTAATTTTGTTGATGAAAGACTTTTTTGATACAAGGAATGAGATCAATTAATTTGCTGCCACTGCGGCATCTCTGAGCAGACAAACAGAAAAACTAATGTTTTAACCAACTTAAAATTTTCCTTGTAACATGTCGAGATCATGTTTGAAAATATATTGTATCGAGATATAGATTGTCCATGTTTTAGAGTAAAAATTATTTTCTACTGTATTCATTTCAAAAAAAAAAAAAGATATGTACTTTTGTTTGAATATTTCTTAAGTTTGCCCTGAATGTCAGGCCAAAACGAGCAGTGAGATTGACGGGTCTTTGGATGTTTGGTGGATAGTAGTGAGATTAGGAGCGAGAAAGCGAAGACTTCTCCAGACTGGAGAGGTCCGAAATGCTGCAGATGATGAGTTCTAACCTAAGGGACGAAGGTTGACTTTTTGCACTTCTGTATATAGTCAAATGAACAGAGAAAAAAATGTGTATCATATTGAGATATTATTTTGAATAAAAAAAGATCTATAATTATAAGGAATTTTGTTAGATTAATTTAAATTCTTAAATTAGAAGACCAGCTAAAAAAATTGCTTGCAAAGAAGGGCACTAGTTTCTTGGCCAATGCATTCAGAGAAAGCTATGCGCTTTTTGTCTTATTTTATCAGTGGCTAGTATTGCCAGGGAATGTCGTTGGGGAATAGATATCCCCGTGTCATGCTAACTCCACCCCTCCTGTGGGATGACATATCCAATAATATCCATATATCATTTGTTAGACTTGGTCATGCAGTATTGCTGCTCCCATGGTACATAAAACTTTCAAAAAATTTGTCTTCTATTATAGTTTGATTTGACTGCATGTAAAAGTACAAACATGTAAACAAAATAAACTGCGTAGTTATGTAAAGAACGATAACACATTCAGATTACAGAATACACAGTGAGATATGTTTTTTATTTCAAATACAGTAGATAACATCCACAGTGGGGAGAAATAATACTTCAAAAACAAGTCATCTTACTCTTGTGTGATAAAAAAAATATTTTCCAAGCAAACATGTTATTTATAGAATGATCAAATATTAGCACTCATCCACCCCAGATACTTTCTCATAGCCATATAATTACAGTCGACACTGACTCACGGAAAGTTGTTCCTGCTATCATAGCTGTGCACTCAGCAGGTGAAGGCTCACCACACCAAATGCATATTTGGCAAATTAGTCTTTGACATGAATGTAACAGTCAAACTGGTCAACGTGTTTTTGACTCGCGGCTGCTGTGTTTAGTTGCTACAGAACCAAAGCACCATTTTCTCCAAACCAGATGTTCAGTCTCCTGGCTGGAGCCATGGTTTCTCTTCCCTGCTGGGGGCACATGTAACGCTTTGACTGCTTTTTACTTGTAAGTGCAACCACCAGTTATGTATTTGCTAACAGTTGCCACACAATAATGTACTATTCTGTCTTCAGATTTGTTTATGCACATTTTATTGTTGCCATAATTGACTCTGAATCTGAATCTGAAATCTGAATAAAACAATATTTGATTTGCTCATGCAACAGGTGTGTGGTCACTGCATCTGTGTGTGCTGATGTGTGAGGTGTCCCACTCTCTGGCTCCATATCCATTTCTTTATTTGATGATGTTTCAACAAGCATATTGAGACACAGGTACACTGATCTGTCATATGGACCACACCTGTGTTACACACCTAATGATGATTAGGTGATCACGCTACACCATTAGGTTGAGCAAATCAGTCACACAGCTGACAGTGGTTAGATAATCATACCACAGCAGTTGGTTGAAACAATTTTGAGGCCCTCAACAAATCAGTACCTGCAAATCAAAACTTTTTCACAAGCTACACAAAACAGTTCAGCCCCAAATCAAAAATACATATTCTTCCTCTTACCTGTAGTGCCATTTATCAGTCTAGATTGTTTTGGTGTGAGTTGCCGAGTGTTGGAGAGATCAGCCGTAGAGATGTCTGTGGTGCTCAAAGTGCTAAAGAAATACACTTAAAAAACTCAACAGCAATGTCTCTTTCCAGAAATCATGACCTGGTTACTCAAGATAACCCACAGACCTTGTTGTGAGCAGTTTCATTCAGGAACTATTTTCTTATAAGGAAGTTTGCATCTACTGCTAGCTCACCCAGCACCACTGAGCTAGCTAACGTTACAGCTCAGCCGACGAGGACACCTTTAATGTTCACATGTTGCACGAGCCAAACCCCTCGTCCATGAGTAGATGCACGCTTCCTTCTGCACGGTGATACAGTCGCAGGTGAGGTTCAGTAGAAAGACAGTAGTTCCTGAATGAAACTGCTCACAACAAGGTCTGTGGATTATCTTGAGTAACCAGGTCATGATTTCTGGAAAGAGACATCACTGTTGAGTTTTTTACAATCTATTATTTGGTGCTTTGAGCTCCCCAAGCCGAGTGCCATCTAGTTCCATTATATTGGAGAGAAGGCTGACATCTCTATGGCTGATATCCCGACACTTGGCAGCTCACACCAAAACAATCTAGACTGATAAACAGCACTACAGGTAAGAGGAAGAATATGAATTTTTGATTTTGGGGTGAACTGTCCCTTTAATATTTATTAACACATAAACATTGATGCCCTCATGCAGGTGTTTATTTCCCATTATATTCAATCTTATTCATATGAGAAGAGGACAATCTAGGACGTCGTATGTGACACTGTATCTGAGCGACAACCTCGTGAACAACTGTCGTCACCTTGAGGGTACAGACTGGAGCAGCTCCACAGAGACTGATGTGTGACAGATGTGCAAGGTTAAATTCATTGTGCTTAAGGCAGTTTGAATGACATTGCGTGCAATATGTGGGTCAGAAGTGATAATAAAAAGGTTAAATGAGGTCCACATGAACTCACAGCATGCCTTCCCTTGTACTGCGTGTGAGACATCAGGGGTGAAAATCAGGAATACTTTGATTCCTGGTGGGAAAATTGTGTGTTGCTGTTGCCCTTTAGATATATATATATATATATAAGCATAGAGAAGTTATAGGGAAATAGAAAATAGAGAAATTAGAAGTAAAATGTGTGCATTTTGTAATAAGTAGCCTAATACAATATAGAGAGAGAAAATAGAAAAATAAGAAATATGTAAAAATGTGTGCATTGTACCACTAAATATAACCACAGAGAAAATGCTGAGAAATGGGATTTATAAGTGTGCTAATTACGAATGTGAGATTGTATAAGAATTAAATATTAGTTGAAATGTACAGTATAAATGCTGTAATAATGCCAGAGTATTGCACAGTCTAATTATTGCACAAGTAAGTCAGAATTGCACAGTTGAAAATATAAATAATAAAATAAATGATGGGTATTATGTTAAAGCTGCTGACAGGTGTTATAAGTCAACACAGCATGTATAAGGTTCAGCAGGCATGTGTATCTTACTCATACTGTCAGTTGTGTTTGCCAGTCTGTAATCCAGACGTAAACCAAGGTTGTCTCACGCCCAAAATTGCCTACCAATTCTCACCTACCCTCGTCAAAGAAAGAAAAAATTAAGGTGTCAGTAGAGGAATGCAACGTACATTAAATAGTGCGGCCTACTTAAGTGCAAATATGAGTTACTTGTACTAACAAACAAACCTCTATGGTCACCAGTAAAAAGACATTCAGAAATGGTTCGTTTCTCACCAACTATTTAAAGACGTGAACGTATACATTTATATCATATTTTATCGAGATTTGCAATAGTGAGATTTGAATAGAGAAGTAATAGTCTGTTGTCATTTTGAAACCTAACTAAGAAATCACGTCCAAATTTCTCAGGTGAAAGTCAATATTGCAAATCCCAGTGAAACGTGATTTAAACAAGCCCAGTCTCACTCTTAAGTCATGGGCAGTTACTTGCAGCATCAGAAACCAACGAAAAAAGGTGTCCTCTAACGTCAGCATGATAGGCAGCTGGTTGCTGTCATAGTTTAACGGCGCCCGGTGGCGTCATGGAAAAACGAAAGTTAAGGCGGCGAAAGTTCGACTGGTGTGGGTGGGAGTAGTGGCGGATGGGTCCAAGAAACACCAACTTTCACCCAAGAGAGCGCTGTTCACCTCCTGTAAGATTATAAAGCCAAACCCTGCTCTTTTATCCCCAAACCTAACCACATATTTTTGTTACTGGAAGAAAAAAATGTCAATTTACGTTGTGCCGACGTAGTGCTTTTATTTTGAAAGAGACTGTGTGTAAATGGTACATTTCCTGTGAAAACAGAAGTGTATTTTGAAAGAACACAACACATGTAACAGGCAGAACTTGACATGGTGTCCCAGAGCGTCAACAACCAACACACCCAGGGTACCTTGGACGTTGTATATGCACATGGAAAGTCCATGACCAAATGTCAATATGTGACGAGGTCGGAGTGAGAATGTGTTGTCTAAATGTAACTGTTCAATCAACGTCTTAAAATAGTAAATGAAAAAACATTTACAAGTTACATGCGTAGTCACACTAACACATTTTACAGTTTCCACTTAAAAGATAAAGAAGATCATGTGACACATGCTACATTAAATCTGTATTTATTCAGCAACAATTTAAATATAACATGGAAAATGCTCTTGAAATGCAGTTACAATGAAACTGATGCAGGGTCCGTCTGGTTGTAGGAGGACGTTTGATAAGTTGGAAACCTGTGAATAAAACAAGTATTAAATAGAAATATATTTTCACTGAGGAAAGGGTTAATGTCCGTCAAGGTTTTCATATATATCTTTGAACACATCTGTAATTGCAGTATTAAATATATACCTAAAAATAAAACATATATTTACTTCATTACAATTCACAGGGAATATTATTTATTATACTTTACTCTTCGACATTAATTTGTACATATCAAGATTTTACACACAAAATAAATATCTTATAAAATGTGATGCAAAATATGTCATAGATTTAACTACCAACAGTATATAAAAATAGCTATAATTAGCTCAACAGACAGCAAAATAGCAGGCACACACAGTACAGGGGCCATTTATCTGCATTATGGGTTCTGCTTTTGATCCGTTTACATTTTCAATGCAATAGATTTTAAAGGAGCACTTCTGTACTGCAGTATTACAATAAGAGTAAAACTTTGGAACTGTCTACCAACTGAACTGCAATGTAACACAATATTTTTAATAGAGGTGTTAAATCGTGGCTGAAAGAGAAGCAGCATTGTTCTCACACTTAATGTTACAGCAGACACAACAGTAGTTTGTATTTTGTGTGGACGTATCTCTGTGTGTTTGTGAATGTGTCCTTGCCAGTTTGTGGGTGTATTTTTGTGTAGGCTATGTACTTGTGGATGTTTCTTTCTTTTTACTATTTTAACTTTTTTAAAAAGCCTCCTGTGAACAAGTGTTGCAGATCAGCATTTTGCTACAACAGAGTGCATCAGGTTCCTGTGCAGAAATGAGCAAGTCTACTGCAACAATGGTGTCTATATCAAATACAATAAATAAAATTAAACTATTTCTACTTTAACACAAGGAAAAGGTCTGAGTACCTCCTCCACCAGTAGCCCATGTGCAGGGGTGTCATGGTGGGGGGAAAGTGGGACTGATTACCCAGGGCCCAAATGGGAGGAGAGCCCTCGAGAAGCCTGGATGAAAAGTGTGGTTTTGTTGCAAATATTTAATGCCATAACGAGAAACCATTTCCCTCAGTGGAAACAAGGCTTTTATTTACTTTAATTTCACAGGTAAGAAACAATAATGTAAAGACTCACTAGGCTAATTTATACTGTGTAAAATGCCATAGGCTTGTGCTAATAATGTTAGCATGCTATACTTGTTTGGAAAACATGTTTAGTATAAGACAGTTGTTTTGTCAGTGAACCTTGTGAGTTGTAATGGAGCTGAATTTTGTAACGTTACTTTTGTTAAATGTTGCTGTTGTCCCTGGTTTTATATGACTAGGACCCAGGAGAAATTTGGCCAATCAAGGTGAGAGCACCTGAGTTGTTAAGAGACTCATGGAGCACAGGTGTGAGAGCTTCATTCTTGATCTGTGAGCACTCCTGTGCACATGTTTGCCTGGTGAGCTGAACAGACCTTGTGTTTTACATAGATTTCATTGCAAACACACCCTGAAGTATTTTTAGTGTAAATATTGAAGTAGTTGTATTTTTTTATTACAAAAATGACATTTACAAAACATGGGTCTGCCAACAGCTTATTGTTTGCCTGTGGTTGGACAAAGGCTGAGTGATGACTGACATTTATTTTATATTTTATGTTTTATGTTTTTCATTGTAAATTATTTTAGCTGTATTTAAGTATATTGAACTTATTAACGCATGTTTTTATCTTTTGGTGCTGCAGTTGGTGTTGGCCTCCGGTTACGGGAGTGGCTGATGCTGTGGGAGTTCATTTGGGTGATTTTCTGTTGGAAAGGGGTTTATTTTGTGTGTAGTTGTGGTTATTCACAGATAGTATACTTCCAGTGCACTGGCCTCTAGATTGGTGAACCACACCCCCTGCAGCAAGACACTCTGACTTTTAATTGCTTTTATA